TGTGTGTGTGTGTGTGTGTGTGTGTGTGTGTGTGTGTGTGTGTGTGTCTCTGTGTGTGTGTGTGTGTGCGCGTGCGCGTGCGTGTGTATGTGTGGCATGCGAACGGGAGTGTGAGTGTATGTGTGCTTGTGTGACAAGATTACGAAATTTAATAGCATTAAGCAAAATATGTATGTCGACCCTTACCGAATCTGTTTGCCATGTCACGAGCTCTTTCATCCCATATGCCTCTGGTGGCTATGAGCAATGTCTCCCCAGGGGCCACAGTGTTCGAGATGATTGTGTCCATACCAGCGTGTCCTGATCCACTAACGGCTAGCACCAATTTGCTTCTTGTTTGAAAGAGGTATTGGATACCAGCACGGATCTCATCGAAGACCTATAAAGATTTAAAAAATATTCATAAAAAATATTATTTTCTTGGATTCTACTTTAAATATTCAATCCTTACACATTTGTTGTCCAACCTTATAGGGTCTGGCCTTAGTTACTTGAACTAGTAAATTCTATAAATGTGTATAGTAAAATCACTTACATTAAATAGCTCATCGCAAACTGGAGACACGACAGGTTTCTGCATAGCTTCGAAGACTGATGGGTGAACGTCACACGGCCCAGGACCACACAGCAACGGCTTCTTAAACTTTCGGTCTTCGATTTTGGGTGGAGTCACTATCATGTGGTTGGCGTACATCTTGATTGATTACTATCTGAAACAGTATTCTATATAAAAAGACTTTCCAATAACCAGTTGTTGTTGAATAACCTGTAAAAATCCCTTTCTCACTGCACCCGTAAGGTCTTAATTTAATAGAGAATTAGTTCATCCAGTGCAAGACACTAAATTCCTTTCGAACCAATCGTAATTAAATATCCGTAATGTATAATATACTTAAGTGCGCATATTTACGTAAGCTAGGATGAAATAGATTTTTATATGATGACCACCACACCACACTGATTTAAGATTGTAATTCCATTATTTTTATATCAAGTGTTGGGACGAACAAGCAATGCTCCTCGTGGTAAGCGACACTTCTGTTTTGCAGTGCCACTCAGAATTTTAATTCGCAAAGATCTAAGGAGCACGGCCGCTGCTCCCGTCACCCTAAGACGTAAGTAGACAAGTCCCATGTGCATGTTTTTCACCAGCACCCTTACACTACAAAACCGGAACGCAGTAATGTGAGCATTGCTGCTTGGCGGCTGAATAGGTAAAGTGGTAGTACTTTTCTGGAGAAATCTTTCACAAGCAGCTCTACTGTTATTAAATGGATACTGTATATAATGTATGTGTGTATATGATGTATATAACGACTCATTTCTTTTTCGATGGCATTTGTGATGTAAAATTTTATAAATTACAAAACCAAATTTTCAACGGACATCAAAAAAGTAACTTAGCGAAACAGCGGTTATAAGAATAGAATAGTATACGTTTATTTGCCAGAACACAGTAAATACATAGGTCTTAAATAAAATTAGATACATTGTTTTCAACCTTCAAGCAGACGTGCAAATATTAATGGCATTTAATGTTTAATTAATGTAATGAATTTGAAAATTCTAAGTATTCTTTATTACTATAGAAGCAATGTGTCAAAAGCGTGATAAGCGTGAAATTTGACAAAAATGTCAATTGTAATTTAAAAGTATGTCCTTGTAACAATTTAATTTTCTTTGGTAATTTATTGTAAATAATTATACACATGTTGAAACAGTTATTCTTATAAATTACTTTATGGCAACGAGGTTGGTATAAAAGATTCATAATTTTTGCTCTAGTTTGCCTTTGATTGACTTCACCACGTGTTTTAAAATATTGAGGATGAGAGTTGAGAAGATAAACTTATAGTAACTACACAGTTGTCACTTTTGATAAACGAAGTGATTTAAGATGAAATTGAGAGTTGTCTTAGATTTTAAGTTAAGTCTCGTAATTTTCAACTGAGTTAGTACCTAACTAATTTCCATCGTTTTGTCAGACATGTGTCAAAGGTGACTACTACTGCTATGATTTCAGGATAACTAGTCAAACTACAAAAAGAGAAAAGAGAACGACTGATTTTAAGTGTCAAGGTATAAATCATACTAAATTTACTGTGTTTAATTATTGCAATGCGGATGCCAGCTAGAAGCTACGTGTCAAGTGAAAATATCCACTGTGACCGATTTTCGAAGCTGGGGCCGTGAAGTTTGGTTACGGGAATCGGGTTAATGTTTAGATTTAGTGCTAATAGGGTGGTTGTAAATTCGCTGCAATGTTCCAGCGCTATCGGATGGCACATTTGGCAAGTGTGCGTCGCTTCGGGCGTCCGCTGCTTGCCAGTTGCCAGCCATATACGAGTGTTTGTTCCACTAGGTATCGCTCGCTGGTAACTCAGTGGCTTAACAATTGTTTTACATGCCAATTTAGCTTTATTATACAACTGTGAGTTTACTGATAGCACAGTTTTAAATGACTTTTGTAAAAGATACATATTTGGATTTTAATAACAAGTGCAGCTAGCGTAACCCATTTAGGTAAGTGCCTTAAGTATACATTAATGGAAAACTGTTGTCAGTACAATCAAGTCTTATTTATTATGTATATTTGCTTATACAATAAAATTCTTATCTTAGTATGGTCCAATTATTAACATACGTAATGCATAACATAGTATCATCAAATAAGACTCAGGAAAACGCTTTGAGTAACGTGGATAGAAACTGTCCGATAAAGGGGTCAGAGTCGTAGGTCGTATGGGCTGTATTGCGATATAGCGTGTGCGAGATAAGAGTTTATACAGAGGATTGAGACGTGACGAAGATCGAACCAGCTCAATATTGGCCCGACAAATTGATTCGATTCCCTGAGCGAGTGCCGGCTCTGTCCCGACGGACAAAGAGGCGAGTGAGCTGCAGACAGGCACGTATTCAGGAGATTGGGGCTGCAGCTGGACTTGAATAGCGAATAGAGGCTTTGAAGGCTTAATGTAATGTAATTTTGTGTAAGGAATCGGAGCGGTTCAATGCATTTGATTTCCCTAATGCAGTTTTAGTATTCTACGTGCTTTGCTACCGTTTGCCTTTCGCAGTTTTTGCGTTTTTAATCTTGTTTAGTTCATTTTCTTTTCAATTACTTTATCTGGCTTGTCATTAGCGTGGTTAATAAACTACCTATAGTCGGGTACAGATAGAAATTTAGAAGTTTTCTTACGCTTTTTAAATGGGTGTTTAGCAAAACGATTTTTTGGCCTAAACATTTTGTTCGGTATAAATTTATACAAAAAGCAGCGATATATTAAGAACGTAGTAAGTACAATCATTTAAAATATGAACTAACACTTACCAAGAAATGGAAACTTCGTGTTGAAGTGTCATGTTGTACTTAAAGTTAAATAACAGAACAACGAACGGTGTGTAATCTGAATCACACTTTTTGAGTTATACCTACTTGATAAATTAGTATCTCTATAAAAAACAGAATAAACTAGATTTTTCCGGATATTAATGACCATAATTAGATTGGCATTTATTTACATAACGTTCAAGTTACATGTTTACAAAAGCATTTACCGATCAAGTCTTTCAGGGGTATAAGCGTGTGTCAATGCGCTTTTAAGAGAAACTGCCACGTACTCTTCAACATATAAAATAAACGGGAACAGAAAGAGGAACACAAAATCTGGTTCCGTATCTGTCCTACGTCGAAGGCTTGCAAATAAGACGCAGACCCAAGTGAGCTCCGTCGTCAGGTCAACCGTGAAATTCAGACTTTTCAACAAAATTCAATAATAAAATTATAAATTATTATGCAAAGTAGAATATATTGACTCATCCGTAGAACAAAGAACTACGTGCAAGATGCTGCTTATTTTCGGGACATTGTACATTTCGTTTGTTCGACGGTTGTTCGATTTTATATTTCCGAAACGAAATAATAAATACATAAAAAATCTGAAATCTGAAAACACTTTTATATAGGTCTTTCAATAAGGAGATTTTGTTTTAACCTCTTTTCGCTGTATAATCACATCGCACTTTGTTCTTTGGATGAGTCGTATTATGGGATGATATCTAGTATATCACATTTTTGTTCTTGCGAGATTAATACGATTTTTCGCCACGCATGTTTCCCAGTGGCAAGCAGATACCAGAAATCGCTACTAGCTACGGTCCTGGCGTACTTAATTCGGCGTACGTATATCAATATGTACGCTCGCCTATAGATAGTAATAATCTTGGCCTGGTCTTTATTATCAAGAGAAGCTAGCGAGCTACCTACAATCGAAGTTTAATACTATTTTAAATGACTCTCACTTAGACATGTAGATCTAGAAATTAATGTCCGAGGTCTTTTTCAGTTTCCCGTAGAACCCAACCTTATGTAATAATAACGCACACACTCAACATGGCCCCGCACTAGGGAAACCCTGTGTCGCGGGTGCCATGGACATACGCATAGACAACCACAAATTACACCCACGAGACAAATAAATGTAGGCCATACAAATATTTCTCCCGGCCCGGCAATCGCACCTGGGTGCCTCTACCTGATAGTCCGGCATGGTAACCGTTCGACTATAGAGGCAGTTAAATTTGCAAAATACTAGAACATTGTTATAATTATTAATACAAAGATCGAACAGAAAGAAAAATTCCTTCGATCCGGCTGGACTCGAACAACGATTTTTTTTTTTGTATCATACCAAGTGATGGGACGAACAAGTCGCGCGCTTGGTGGTAAGCGACACGCCTATTCATAATAGTTGCAGCGCCACTTAGAGCTTTTAATCGTAAAGATCTTAGAGGCACTGCCACTGCCCGTCACCCTGAGACATAAGTTGACAAGTCCCATGTACCTGTAATTTCTTCAAAACACGAACCAGACCTTACGAATTTCTCCATGTGCTGGTTCTCTTCTCTCTTTCTTTATTTTTGGTTTTTACGACTTTTTTGCCGTAGCGCCATCTATCACCGAAAGTATTACTAATTATAACAAACTAATGGAGTAAATTCACAACAATAATAGAATATCATGGTACTAAAAGAACATTGTCTTAGATTTTTTTAAACATTAATAGCGATTTAGAAAAAAATGCATATTCTTAAAATATTTTGCAATATAAAAATTTGATCTTCGGTAAATTGAAAGTAAGGCAGTAAAATTAACAGTTTTTGTAATTCTAGTTCAGAGTAGGGTTTACATTAACATTAGACATTAGAGTTCTTAGGTTTTCGCGATTGTTACACATGGAAAATGAAACTATTTTTCCGGATTTAAATCGCGTACATTTGTTTGTTCAAACAAACCAACGTTTACGCGATTTAGATCCGGTAAAATAGTTTCATTTCGTATTAGGCATTAGGTTGATGACTAGAATCATCTCAGTCAGCCATGACCATGGGACTTGAAAATAGCCAGAAATGTTTGAAAAAACAAATACACGCGATTTCGATCCGAAAATACTTTCATTTCTCATAAATAGTGAAATCCCTGTATATGATTTTAATTAATAACAAACAAAGGAATGGCTAACGTGGCCGCGCGGTGTAGTAGATAAATTCTTAATTTGCAGGGCTAGCACGATAAGGCGCGACTTGAGCGAGAGCGATATCAATGTGCGAATAGCAGTGTCTCGCTCTTTATGTCGCTCTCGCGCTAGTCGCGCCCTATCGTGCTAGCCCTACTGGTTTAAGGTTTTTAAATAACTATAACTTTTTTAT